CATGACAATCTGACGGCCGTTTTTTTTTCTTTGCTCCGCTGCTTTTTGGTCTGTTTCTTGGTCCGCTTCTTGGTTGTCCAGTTTCCATTGTCCTTCAAAGATTTCCGGCGCTTGAAGCTCTTTGATTTTGTGTATGATGTTGCCTTTGGCTTACGCCCCCTCTTTGCATCAGGCTTTGCTTGCTTTGCAAACGCGGTTTGCTGCGCTGGGGCCACCATAGGGCACGCACTTGTTTGCGGCAGCTCCAACTTCAGCCCAGTTACTTGCTTTCACACACACAGACATCACAACCCCAATACTAAAAAAAACAATTAAGGCAAAATGGTATTTAACCCAGAAGCCTTCTCCGGGGTGATGTCCAGGGCAGCTGCGGTCTTGGGGCTCGGAGTCTCGTGCGCAGGCAAAGCCGCTGCGAGATCGCCGATCGGCTGTGTCTCCTCCTAGCAGGGGCGCTTGGACGAATGCAGTTTGCGGTCGTTTGTTTTCAGAGATTGGACTTTTCAGGCTTGGTTTTGGCACAGGTCCTTGAAATTGAGTCACCACATCAAGTTTGCAACCCTTGCCCTTGATGTTTTACAAAAGAATGGGTCCTGGTCCGGGTTGATGCATCCCTTGCTAGGCAGCGGTGGTGGGGGCATGTTGGGCTCAGCATCTGCAGGCCTTTGGCCTGGGCAAGGTCCATGCAGCAATGTTGCTTTGATCAACCAACATTGTGAAAGGTCCAGCCCGTGTTACTAAACCCCCCAAACTCCACATAGCTGAAACGTGTGCATATACACAGTCAAGTTTCAATTGCTGCCCAATGGCTGGCCCAACAAGCCAGGCGAGGTTGACCTTATTGTGCAAAGTGAGCTGGAGAACAAAGAAACTACACCCGGTATTCCCTTTGTTTTAAAGAGCCATAACCAAAGTATCAAAATGGACCATTTGTGCAAACGCGGCGCCCTTCAAGCAGCTCAATCTCTTTCAAGACTGATGCAAGCTCATCGTACTCCTCTTTCGTCATGCTGTTCAGGAGTTGGTCGGCAAGCTTCTCACCTTCCGGGGCCCCATTTGCAGCACTTGAGAATGTATCAATCGATGGGGTCTCTGTGTCATCCTCAAGGTCTTCAAAGAGCTCTTGGTCAACGATAGCATCACACCCTGATTCCCCATCAAGATCCAAAGATTGCGCACGTAGCTTGCCAATCATCTCAAAAAGCGATTTCACACCAGCGTCCTGTAGGAGTTGCGACTCATAGAACAAAAAACAATCATGATCACAGCATGGTTATGGAAAGAACTATCAAAATAGTCAAAAACACTCAATTATGATCGAGGTTCTCTAGGTGCTTGCCCCCTCTTCTCAGCATCACGCTGCCTTCGCCAAGCGAAGGTAAACAGCCGCCTCAGGTCCCATGCCTCGCGGTAGAACTGCGTTGGCGAGTCAACCGGTGCATTGGCAAGGTCATAGAGCTGTTCCACCTGAGGGAAGGGTCGATTGGGAAGAACAACTTCAGCTATAATTAATTATTTCATTTAAAAAACAGCTGAATCATGGAGAAAAAAGGGGGCACGCCAAGCACTCTGAAAGCCAGGGCCAGAATAAAAATGGTGTGATCTGAGGCTAACCCGTTTTTGACAACAGTTGCTGCAATGTGGGCATGTGCACCTGTTTTTGAAGCCCATCAACGTCGATGAACTCTGTGCCATAGCACCGCAGCATGACAATCATGGCCCCCGAATTCAGCTCCAAAGCCTTCGTGCTCGGGCTGTGGTCATCACCGATGTCCTCACGGCTAACGACGGGCCACTGCAGCCATGGCAGTTTCTTCCTGAAGCGAGACCTGATTTTCCCATCCGCCTCCCAACCAGTGGCGCAATCAGGCCACATTGCTTCAGGCATGTTGCCTCACCCACTGAACCAAAATGCTCCAAAATATCATGGGTAAATGAAACTGCCGAAGTCAATTGGAAGCAAAGCATGCATGTTCACCCAACATTGCATGGCACCCACAATGCCATGCCAGCAACGCCAGCGTGATTGCCGAGGTTGGACTTGATGAAGGCCAGATCGTCCTGGGTCGAAGGGCTGGCGTCGAGGTCAGGGTCAAAGACCACATGTTACATGCAGGATCTCAATGGTTGGTGCACCACATGCATGGCAACTTGATCTCATGAAAGAATGGTGCAAAACATGTGCGTGCATGCATGGGACATGGTCAAGATTAATGCTATGCATATAGTCCTGCTACACACCATCGTCGCTTGGGGCCCATGGCAGGCCATGGAGCTGAGAGCACCAGCGGCGCGATGTGGCCTGTGCCTGACATGGCCTAATGTGGCCGTGCTTGCCGTGTGTTTAATGTTCGCTGTTGCACCTGTAGCATGGTCTTTCGCCTGGTGTTGCGACAGATTGTGCGCGTTGCAAGCAAATGGAAAAGGCTGCTTTTGAGCTGACATGCCATGCTCATGCGTACCACGTGGCAAAATAGGCAACTTTGCAAAAGTTGCCTGTTTTCAACTTCCACTGGGCAAAGTGTGATGAAATCTGAAAGTTTGACAAAAAAAATGCAACTACGGCGTTGCAGGTGGGTGGTTTTGAACGAATCAGAAGGAAAAGCACAACTTGGTTTTTTGGGGGACACCCTTTTAGGCGTGCATTTTGACGGGGAGCGATGGGACAACTGCCAATTTGAGGGTCCAGGAGTCCAGCATAGGGGGTTGTTGGGTCCTTGTCATCGGGCAGAGCTCGGGTCCAGAGTCCAGAAAGGAGGCCATTTTTTCGACTCCACGTATCCGAAATCGTTGAAACTGGCCGCTTCGAATTCTCGGTCCCGTTGCCGGAGTTATTCGTGGTGAAACATATATTTATGTTCCAGAGCGCCGAACACCATTTTAAGTCATACTACTATCTGGCTTCAAAGGGCATCATCTGGCTTCATAGGGCATCATAGTACGTGGAAATCAAACATCCATTGGGTGTTGGGCACGCAAATAAGATCCATTGAGCCCCCGCCTATCACTGGATCCCGCAACCAGGTTGCAGTTTCTGGGGGTCTCGTTGGATTGCTTTTGGGCCTGTGCGTGTTTGCTTCCCAGAATTTGGCTGGTCATTTTGATCGATGTCACTTTGGGCCCAGTGGCTCCAAATGCGATCCCGCAGGAACCGTGATAGCAGGATGATTGACCAAAAAGGCTGGGGAGGGTTCGGACAATTCCCGAAACTTGACCATCCAAGGTAAACCTTTTGACCATCCAAGGTATACACGTGAAATTATTGCAGCGCGTTCCAAGAAAAGAAGCTTCAAGCAAGAAAACAGTCTAGTACTAGCACCAGCACGTGCGACATACCAAAAGAAAAAACAGACATGTATTTTGGTGGCCCCCAGCCATCCCCAGCCTTTTAGCTTTTTAGTGTTTAGTTGTAGTTTCCATTTAGCCCACTAAAAGTGAGTCACTTTTAGCGGGGGATCTGAGGACCCAGTTACGTGAAGACATGCCAAGAACCTGTCCGGGAATGGGGGTGGCTCCTTGCGGCTTTGCAGGTGATTGCCGCTCCTTGGCATGGAATTTCGATTTTTCAGCGGCTCGAGCCTAGCTCCAAGTGCCAATTTTCGGGACAGGTTTCTGGTGGGGTCTGCTCTCGAACCAGTTGTTCAAAAGGTTTGCGGGAGAAGCATCAACTACCAGCCTTGGGGTATTTTAGGTGTGGGCCAGGTGCAGGAAGGCATCACAGGCGCAATGGATGAAGTCAGGGGAGAGTTCCAATAATGAATAGGTGCGGATATCCGGCCATGAATTTGGGCAATGTTGACCGCATATTGATAAACCCCTGTGCATTAGCATGGGGAGTGTCCCTTGGTTTAGTGTGGATTCATCACTTTTGGCGGGGAACACCCCGTATTAATAAACTGTTGTTTGTTGATATGGGGTCAACATTAAGCCACTTTGGTACCAGTCTTTGATTGTATCTCACAGTTTGCTGAGTCAATGCTGTCCTCTTCGAACATAAATCCCGTCCTCCCTAGTAACGCAGGTCCACTCATTTACACGTTTCTGCCGAAGTTGATAGGCGTGGTGTAGAATTTCCTTTTGGGGAAGCCCCCAGTCCACTTCCACGATCGGAAAGCGGGTACGTCCCGCAACTCAATTTGGGGTGGTCTCCCTTCACAGTGGAGCCCCTTCCACCACAAGTCTCTTCCCTCTTACCTTTTGGAACTCTTCCTGGGGGGGGTCCCAAAACGGTTGGGTTTGCTCTTCCTTTTTTCGCCAGCCAAAAACTGTTTTCCAAAGTACTGATGTGTCAAAATAGGGAAAGGGCGTCGTTTTGAAACGCCCGAATCTGATCGTTTTCAACGCGCACTACCGGAGGCTGACCGTTTCTCAACACGGACCTGCTCGTAGACTGGCTATTTCTGTGTGTCTGCGGTTTCCACTGTATTCATGCAATCCACAATGTCCATGTGTTCCATGATTTGTTTTACGATGTTCTATGGTTTCCATGGTTTGCATGGTTTCCATGGTGTGCATAGTTTTTTTGTTTAATGGTGTCCGTGGTTTCTGTGGTTTCCATGGCTTTCAAGGTGTTCATGGTTTTGGTCATCCCTATGTATGGTTTCTATGCCACATGCAGAGGCGGGTTTTGTTGTTCACTTCTTTTGACATCATGGGGTCAGAGCGTGTGATGCTGATGGGGCGTTTGGTACCAAAAAAAAGTCCAGTTGTGTTGGATATTTGTTTGAAAGAAGAAACAAAAAAACGTGTGTTGTGAAATGATCGCCAGTTGCGAGCCAAAGTGTTGCACAATGATCGCGAGTTCAGTCGATGCGTTGTGTTGAGAAGTCATCGCTAGGCGTGTCCGTGTGACAGGTGGTCAAGGCATTGCACGTGTTCCCAAATGATCGCGAACCAGTGTTGCATTTCCCGGAGGGAGGGGAGTGGGGACCTCCCTCCCCCACAGGGTTCGTGAGACGTCGGAGTTCATCTAGTTTTTCCAAACTTTTCACCAGTGTCCTAAGGAGCGGATGGGCGATGCACCCGGCAACTGCTGGCACCACGACAGCTGCGTGGCCGCGGTGGATGTGGACTTGCGCGGGCGTGTGCACGAGGCGCCAGCTTTCTGTCCGGTCTTCCAAACATGCGCCCTAGATGTTTGAGGCCTAAACTATGTTATATGGAGCAGGCTATCACGTGTTTTTCCCCAACAGCTGAAAGCTTTGGGGTCTCAGCCCAGATAGGCTCCGGGGTGGTTTGGGGCGGGTCTGAGGTAAGGTTCCACGAGGGTTCCACCAGGGTTCCACCATCTGCGAGGGCTGCGGGGTGGTTCGGGGTGGTTTGAGGTAAGGTTCCACGAGGGTCCCACCAAGGTTCCACCAGGGTTCCCCCAGGGTTCCACAAGGGTTCCACCAAGGTTCCACCAGGGTTCCACCAGGTTCTGCGAGGGCTGCGGGGTGGTCCGTGGTTGAGGGTTCCACGAGGGTTCCACCAGGGTTCCTACCAGGATTCCACAGGTTCTGCAAGGTAAGGTTCCATGAAGGTTCCAGGGTTCCACAAGGTTCGCGAGGGCTGCGGGGTGGTCCGGGGTGGTTTGAGGTAAGGTTCCACGAAAGTTTCAAGGGTTCCACGAGGTTCTGCGAGGGCTGTGGGACGGTCCGGGCGGCCCTGAGGTCCGCAAAAATTCCACAAGGGTCCCACAAGGCTCCACAAGGTTCCAGAAATGTCTGCAAGGTTTCGTGGTTTGCCCTGGAGGGAAGCAGTGTGTCGTCTGAAAAGCCATGGAGCAGTAAATTGACGGCTCAGAAGATCACTTGTCTCATGGGCGGAACACTAAGCAAAACCGAAATCAAATGGTTTCAGCAAACGTTCACTGTTTTGTCACTTGCTCACTTGCTCAGGCAACGCGGACGTTGCTGCGGGACTCATCGGGGCCCGATTGCACCGTCGGGGCCCGATTGCACCGTCGGGGCCCGATCGGCCCCGATTGCGCATTCGCGTCACAATCGGCGCCCGACTCAGTCGGGCCCCGTCAACTGTACCAAGCTGGCATCGCCTAGTTTTGCTGGATACAGTTGTAAGGCCCTACCCTAAGGAAAGCCGGCGTTGAGTTATAATATGCTGCGGCTGCGCCGCGGGACCATCGGGCCCCGATCGGGCCCCGATTGCACCGTCGGGCCCCGATCGGACCGTCGGGCCCCGATCGGGCCCGGGCCCCGATCGGGCCCCGATTGCACCGTCAGGCAACGATCGGACCGTCGGGCCCCGATCGGGCCGGGCCCCGATCGGGCTCCGATTGCACCGTCAGGCAACGATCGGGCCGTCGGGCCCCGATCAGGGCGCGATTGCGCGCTTTGGTTTTTAAAGTTGCATGGCAGCATCCTCAGCAACACCGGCGGTGAGGTGAATTCCGGGGCGTTCCGCGAGGATTTTGGGAGGGTGGTGCTGTTGGGGATATCGCCTGAGCTTATTTTTTGCCGCAGATCGATTTGGTGTTTACACGCGAGCACATGCGGTCACACGGACAGGCATCCTGCCTTGCCTACATGGACCGCATCTTGCTTGCAATGAGACTCCTGAAGCGAGGTTCATGGACAATCTTGCAGCGATGTGGTGCGCTCCCCAAGCAAGTCCTCATGCGCAAGACAATTCCTAGAGTGGCAACCACTGAAAAGCATATTGGCTTCTCAAGCTCATCGTTACTCCTTGGGGTTCAACAGCCATCGCTTTGGCTCTTTGGTTTGCTCCATGGCTTTCTCCAATGGGTCCCTCGAGGAGACACGGGGGAAGCTCACGGGACAAGTCTGGCAACAGGAAGAAGAACTGCGAGAGGTCCCAAGATCACCTTGGGACCCCTTGCGCGAAGGAGAAACAAAAAAACACAAAAAACAGCGAGGGCAAATTTTCGGGGTCATTCTGACTGTTTCTGGGGGGTTATCCAAGTCAGCTGCTGGCCTACCACTTGTGACTTTGATGGTAAAAGGAATGGGGGCCTGGAGGGCCAAAAATCCGCAGTCCCTTTCGAACACTGTTTGAATCCGTGTGGAAACCTTTTAGTTTCCCTTTGTGAAACCTTGCAGTGGACCTGGAAACTGAGCGACTGACCCCTGCGAAAGGGAGCATGGGCTGGCGGTGCATCCCGAAATGCCACGCCTCCCAACAGATCGAGATACCATCGTGGTTCGGCTCCGGGTGTGGTTTACTATTCACACTTTGTAGGAACCAAGGGTTCAAAACCAAATCGAAACCAATCCAAGCCACCTTTCTATTGCTTGATTCCCCAAAATGTTCAACCATCATTCTTTTCAAGAACCGGATCCGTGTTTCCTGGGATTCTGGAGGTTTTCCAGAAAGAAGGATTCCTGGAAAGAATGGGGAAGGTACCCCTAGAACCATACCTATCCAACAGTTTAAGCAAAAGGTATGGTTTTGAACAGTTCTTATACAGTTTTATATAAGAAACATGTTTCCCCTCAAATTTGGAATGCAGCTAAAGGACACTAAATCATGTGCATCGCGAGAGAGAGAGAGAGAGAGAGAGAGAGAGAGAGAGAGAGAGAGAGAGAGAGAGAGATAGAGAGAGAGAGAGAGAAAGAGAGAGAGAGAGAGAGAGAGAGAGAGAGAGGGAGAGGGAGAGGGAGAGGGGGAGAGAGAGAGAGAGAGTATTAACCCAGCTACTCATGCGGAGATTGATGGGTGTCTGAACAAACAGAATTGGTAAATGAATTGTTAGTTCTAGTATACCGAGTAGAACTGTTCGTCTTGAATACGCCTGCCTCTTTGATACTTCCGTTTTGGCTTCCAAACGGGTGCCAATAGACGTTGTGGCTACAGCCAGAAAGACGCCCGTGCAGAAAAATCGACGAAGACAAGGAGAACAAAATGCCTTTTGCCCAGAAGGATTGCCCATAAGAACCGTCTGGAGAAAGGAGAGAGGAGAGGTTCCGGAAAAGTTTCCTTTTGGGTCATTCCAACATCACCTTTGCCAGGTAGCGTCACAATTTTTCAGGCCATGTTCATGTCAGTCTGCTTTTAGTGGTGTTTTTTTCAGGATGCGTCAGGCACCCCTGGCGGAGCAAAGTTTGTCTCGTGAGGCTGGCGCTTCCTTGCCGCGTGCAACGGCGGGTACCCACCAGAGCCCTTCGGCACAAGGCAGCGGTTCGGCGCTTGCTAAAGCTCAGTAGGGAATGTGGTTCTTGGTGGCAAGCCCAGCCATCCGGTTCCTTAGTTTTTTAGATATTTTTGGTGTTTAGTGGTAGTTTCCGAATTTAACCCACTAAGAGTTAAACACTTAGCGGGGGATCTGAGGGCAGTCCAGGGTTGAATGAACTTGGGACTTCCCTTAAAGGAAGCCAGAAGGGATCTCAATGACTTTTTGCGGGGGTCATTTGAGTCATTCCCTCATTCCCTGCTGAGCACCAGCACGGTTGGGACTGCTTCATGGATTCATAGACGACACTGCTTTCACTTCCCCCCCAAAAAAAAACACACATCTATTTCTCCAAATGGAATTCGGGTGCCCTGAATTCTGCGCATATGAGCTCTGGGAGTGAGCTTATGGTGAAGGTGCTTTTGCCCGTCCCTGGACTTGAGTCACTTCTTGGGAAGACAATGTCAGTCGTAAATAACCAGGCACATAGGTGTCCTTTTTAGGTTAGTTTGATTAAAAATAGATGGATTCCACTGGTTTAGGTGGGGTTTATTCCATTTACGATGGCCATCTACTTTTCCCAAAAGGCCACCTATGACCAGTTCGTGAGCTGCTTTTGGGCCAATCCACTCGATCGGAAGTGCGCTGTTTCGCCCAGAAACCCCGACGCCCGAGGCTGGAGATGAGCATCCTGCGGGCGCGCACTCGCCAGGCCTACGTGGCCTACATGGGCTATGCCGCAGCTGGCGCCTCTTGGTTCGATGTAACCGGGACGAGGTCCCCCCCCCCCCCTCCGGGTTGATCTGTATCAAGCCCACCGCTTCAGTTCAGGGGAACGAGGGAAACGTCTTAGTAGGTCCTTGACTTGTGGATCCAGTTTTTTCAGGTTTCGGGATATTATGGTGGAATTGGCAGGTGGACAGCCTTTAAAATGTGTGCGTTGCCCAAGCCTGGGGTGGTTTCTAGCTGAAGATTCGCAGGGGGGACGGTCCCAGCCATAGGGTGCACCCGCCCTCTCGCTTGAGTCAATGTTTTTTTGGGTAGGCCGGGTAGGCCCTTCCTTGAGCATTGCTCTATTGGGCATTTTGTCCTTGGAAGATTTGGGCCACCTGGGCAACATGAGCCCCCCCAAGTGCTTTACCTTCCATTTGCTGAAGAAGATGTTTGTTTTCCCATGTTGGCTTCAAAGGGACTCGATGGCGCTACTGGAAACCGACATGGAAAAGCCCACACTTTTCCCAACCAGCAGGTATCCAGTGTTAGTGGACATGGAAAAGCCCACACTTTTCCCAACCAGCAGGTATCCAGTGTTAGTGACAAGCTGTCCATGTTGGTGGCTTAGTTTCGTTTTTTTGGCCAGGGGTACAACCTATTTCAACCGGAAGTTCGGCCCTGGCCATGTTGCCTCAGCGCTTTTTGCTTCCCATATCAACCCCAGGACCGGATCCATGTACGATCCTGGGCCAGAGCCACAGAGGAGAGGGCAGACCCGTGTCGACAAGTCGAAAGCTGGGTTGATCTTTCCGAGGCCTCCAAGTTGATGTGGTTGAGCTGACTTTTCACCAGTGGTGAAAAAAACTGGTGGTCAGAAAAAAAAGAGGTCGACCGATTTTGCGAAAAAGCCGCGATTTCTGCGGTGCACAAGTTGAACCATCCGGTATTTTTTGGGTGAATCCAGCCCATGGATTTTGATTCGCCCCCCGAAAAAAAAAAAATCCTCCCGAGAGGAGGGCATCTTGCTGGCCTTCGACGCCGCGAAGGACAGCAGCCCTGGCCTCAGAGCTCAGCGCTCAGCGGCCTCTGGGCCTCAAGTGAAGATCTGGGCGCCGTCTTTCGAGGCAAAAAAAGGCGCTCTCCCTGGGGTTTTAAAGGGAAGCCGAAAGCGAAGCCACCATTTTGGGCAGGGGAGTGACCCCGATTTTCCGCTTCTGGTTCCATGTTCCCTTTTATGGGGGAGACTAGAGACTAGAAAGAATGGAACTGCAGCCCCCCCCCCCCACCCTCCTCCTTAAGGTATGGGGGAGGACATGTCATGCGGTTTCCCTTGCTTTGGCGTTGTCAAAATCAATCCTGATGCCAGATGGCAGTGGTTTGCCTTGCGAAATCCCATCTAGGGATTTCAGATTAGGGATCCAATGTTGAAAACCCAGCCCCGAAACACTCAATATGTGTGGTGGTGGTTTGCCAAGTAGCCAGATCTCCGTTGTTTGGGAACCAGCTGAACTATGACTTCCCATTCTTAAGGCATGGTAGCAAAAGCCTGGAGATGTGCTGCAGCGCCCCCCCCAAAAAAAAGAAAGAAAGACAACTTCGAACTATGAAGCTTTCTCGACAAGAACTGGCCGTTTGCGGGGAGCGGGGGGTGCAACTTGAGGCAGCCTGCTGCAAGGGTGCCTCCTGCTCAGCCAGGCCGCCGTTGCCATGAACGATGGGTTTCAGCTCACAGATTCCTGAAATCAGGGATTAGTTCCATGTCTTGACTGAAAAGGTTTTATATGGTTTTATAAATACGTCAATGACAAGGATCAGACAAAAATCAACTGGGTGTGGCTCATTCGATCTAGGGGCCCAACATGGCTGTGGGTCAAAAGCCCGCCCCAGTGAACATCCCAAATCCCCACTAAAATAGACCCCAAAATAGTGCCATTGGTTTTGACCCACAGCCACATGGCAGCAATGTGCCCGAAACTCTTCAATCAATTCTTCCATCCCTTTGTTGCGCGGAGCCTTCCTTCGCATGGTCTTTAAAAGGCCTGCCCTGCCTGGCGCGCGCCAGGAGGACTTGAGCAAGTTGTGAGAGCGCCAGGCCGGAGGTCCAAAGCCATCCGCGCGAACGGATCCGATCTGCGCGCCAGCGACTCGGAGGTCCCGTCCGGCCGAAAGGCCGCGGCAAAAACCGGGCCGCCGGATCGATCCGGCCGAAACGCCGCGGCGGAAAAAGGGAAAAGGCGCGGTGCCAAAGCCGGAGATGAGGGTTCCTATGGGTTTATGGAAGAGGCTATAAATGGGGTATGCATTTCAATCAAGAGACCCGTGAAAAGTAGCTCCCCCGCATGTGGGGAAGGAACAAGAACCCCGGATTGGGGCCCCGCAGCGGACGACCTGAAGTAGGGGTTTGTCACTCTTTTGAGGGCTCTTGTTTTTCCTGGTGTTCAAGGGAAACCAGCAGCAGACCATCCTTTTTGGGGGTCCCAACAGGAAACCCACCCCGTACTTTTGTTTATTTTTTGGGGGGGCAACAGGAAACCGGATGAAACCGGCCTTTGTTTTTGGGGAACCTGCCCTTGTTTGGGTGGGTCCCCGAAAAAACAGCTAGGTCCCCCACTTTTACTCTTTTTTTGGGGGAGTGTTCCCCTACTGAAATAGACTACAGAAAAAAGGGTACCCTTGTTCTAACCGCTCTACTGGAGGACCTTGACAAAGTAAACACCCATGTTGGCCGGACGCCGTGAGGCCAGAGTCTGCGAGAGGAATGCCAACGCCTACGTGCCGCCGTGGAGGAGTTCGCGCGGTTGGTTGGTTTGCGGTCTTTAAAAGCTGGGGCTCATTCATGGGGGGGGGGGGGGTAGGCTGAGAAAAAGGGGAGGGCCGGGGGGGGGGGGAGTATCTACCTTTCTTTTTGTTGGTCTTGCACTTTGCTAGGATCCAACACTTGAAAAAAATCAGCCAAAAAGGTCAACATCTATTGAAGTCTTGCTGGGTTGGTTGGAAGCGGGGCTGGGCCATCCATCTAAGTCTTGCAGTTGTGTGGGTTATACTCGCAAAAAGTTTAAGTTAAAGCCTTTAGATCCAAGAGCAATCAAGAAGCCACAAATCCTTTACCAGTGACGTCAACTTCTGGAATCAAAAGACTCGTCCTTGTGGGGTTCTTTGGAAGCAGGGCCGGGCAATTTGATCTTGATGTTTGGAGAACTGCCATGGGAAATCGAAACCAACCACTGCAAGGGTGCTTACAGCTCTTTGTCTCGCTGGTGCGATAGGCAGGGATTCAGAAATGAAGCGACTCCGAGCAAAACCAGCCCTTGTCGTTTCCTTTAAGGGGATCCCCTTCCTTGGCGAGGGCGACCACTTGCTAGCCGGTGGTTGGAGGGGAGTCATTAGGGAGCTGGGGACCCAATGCTTGTGTGCAAAGAGGAAGCTAAGCTTCCATTTGTTTAAGAGTCTCTTTTATTTTCCCCTGTTGGTTTTAAAAGGAATCGATCACTGGAAATATGTTCATTTGTAGGGGGCTTTTGCAAATGAAAGCTACGGAGCCACCAGGAGTCCTGCAAGGACATCGCAGCTTGCCTGTGAACCCCCCCCCCCCCCCGGTTTTTCTGCCGCTCGCGATGTCGCGGGGCGAAACGAGCCAAAGCCGAGGCCTCAGAATGGAACATCCCGGGTTCTTCAGGCGTTGCGCTGTGGATGGCAGAAATCCATTTCGAGCCACTCGGGATGGATGAAACCCTAGCAATGGAGTGAACGACCTACCAACTGGTGCCAAGTGGGGTTTTGTCCATCCACAGCATCAACAATTGCAGGTGGCAACCCGAATTGAACAACACCCCGTGGGCGGATTAATGGAGGGGCTCGACGTTAGAGAGGATCCGTCTCTTGATTGTGAATCCCAGCACATGGCTTGTCCCTTCACTCCCTCAATTTCGGGGCTACCCTGGGCAAATTACCAAACGGGATCCCTACATGTATATGTCGCTTGGCTGGTTTTCACATCTTGGGCATAAAGGTGGTTTGAGCTTCC